GTGACTCATAACTCTGCATAAATCGAGTGGCAGGAAATTCAGTGCCTCCTCCTGACTCCTGTTGGTGACAGGTACACACATGGGGCACCAACACACTTGTAGGTAAGACATCTACACACGTAAAGTAACTCTCTTAGAAAAAATATTAAAAGAATATGGATACAATTCTATTTGCCTTTCAGGGGAACATGCTGATATGGCCGTGATGAATGGACCAACAAGTTATTTCTCAAACATATTCAGAGATGGCTATTTTAGAATCAGGCAGGCCTGTGCAAATGCCCCTTTCTGGAATTGACCAAAGCCTAAAGAGTCAGAAATCCTATGAGTTTTACTTAGAAACCTTCGTTAGTAAAATAGACTTTACTATTGGAGGCTAAAGTGTGGGAACCCCTGGGTGAGTGGATGGGGACTTGGTGAGAGGAGCCTCAAGGGATTGTGACATTAGGTAAACACTGGGTCTTGGCTCTGTCTGAGTTATGGCTTCATTTTGACCGAGTCACTTTCCTCTCTGAGGCTGTGTGTGGCCTCCTTCGATGGGTTGAAGAGCCCCTGCCGTGTAGGGTTACAGTTAGGGTTAATTGGGATAGTAAATTTAAGACGCCTGAAGTGTGTGCCATGTAAAGTCTCACTGATTAGGCACTCATAGGACGCATCCATGAAACCCCCAGACAATTCTTTTTGGCAACCAAGAATCTCACAAGGTGCTATCTAGCTTCTGCTATAGGTTAGATCTTGCATGTTCCTTAAAGATCCATGCCTTTCAGGAGATGGTAGAGAAGCATTAGGAGTTTGAGCCTAGTAGAAGGAAGTTAGTCATTGGGGGCATGCCTTCAGAGGGAATATCGAGAACCCTGCCCCTTCCTGCCTTCCTCTTTGCTTCCCGCCTGCCAGGGAGTGACCTGGTTCCGGTGGCTCATGCCCTCTCCATGGTGTATTTCTCTGTTACAAGTCCAAAGCAGTGAGGCCAAGTAGCCTTGGGTCCATGAAACCATGAGGCAAAATAATCCTTTTCCTTATTAAGTGATCTGTCTTAGGTTAGTTGCTATAGCAGTGAAAAGCTAACTAATACAGCTCTTTCCTCTAAGACAGCAGCTATGGGGATATTCAAAAAGGGAATTGTTTTTTTCATGTGGTCCATTCTGGTCTCAAACTCCCAAATTAGCCCACACTGGCCTTGATCTCCTGACCCTTCTTCCCACATCTTATACATTCTGGGGTGGCAGAAGTATGCCACCACACCTGGATAAAAGAGGGTACATTTGAGTGTTTTTCAAAACAAACAAACAAACAAAAAAACCATTCAGTGACAGGCATAGGTGACTGTTCAGTTTATAGCTGCGGGTGGAAGGTTCTGTTCTGGCTAGCTGGAGTACTGTATACTGCTATCTAAGAGAAAGATGGGGTGCAGCAGTTTGTAATGCACTTTCCCAGCACATACAGGGCCCTAGGATCCATCTTCAGAACCACTGTCTTCTAAGTGGAGATGCTGAGACTGAATGCAGAATGTAAACAAACAATGATGATGGACAAGCGTGGCCTGGGGCAGTGCTCAACTGTGAGCTGTCACAACGGCAATAGGAAAGGGTGTGGTTGCCCAGGGCTGGGATTCACGATGACTTCCAAGTCAACATCAAATTTTAACGTTTTTTCAGGGGGAAAACATAGGAAGGGAAATTGAAAAGGAATGGAAAGTAAAAGAGAACAAAGAAACACTCTGAAAGAGGCTGGCTGATATCATAGAAAGTCAAAAAAAAAAAAAAACCCTGAAGTTCTTTAAAGCAGAAACCATGTCATGCCAAGAGTGGACATTTTGGCCGTGGTAGCTGGTTATATGGTATTCATTCTAGACAAACACAGCGTCTTTGGCTTCATATTCTTGCCTGCAATATCTAATAAAACCAGAGGGAGAATTTTGCTGTGTGCTGCTCTTTGAATGGAGAGAATATATCTGAGCATCTTTGGTCTCTACATTATTTTAGATGAGTAGCTGACATTAGGGATAATTGAGAAAAGACTGTGTTCTTTGGAAAATCATGATGGTTGTTAGTGAACACCTCAAACCTCCTCCTAATGGATTCCTCTCTCGTTAGTTATCAATAACTGTTTTGTCCAATTATATTTTTATTCTTCATTAATTTTTTATTTATTTATTTATACATGCTGTACTCTCCAGGGAGCCATGTCCCAACCCCCTAACAAAAACACGAATGTGGATGAAAGTGTTCTCCCTCGAATAAACATCGGGGGATAAAGGAATTCACCTTGTAAAAATAAACACTTCAAATGCTCTGGTCTCTACAAAATGTCTTATGTCAATTATAAAACGTTAGAAATCATCAATATGTGTGTTAGAGGATTTTGCTTGCTTGTTTCCCATTCCTCTGCCTAGTGCTGGGATTTGAACCCAGGGCCTTCTGCATTCTGGGCAAATTTCCACTGAGCTATATCACCAGTTCTAATCATAATAATTTTTGCCCCATCTTCAATTTGAAGCATGTAGCTTTGTTGCAACATTTACAGGAAGTTGGAACATTTTACATTTCTCTCCTCTTCTCAGTACTAAGAATTGAATCTAGGACTTCACACATGCTAGAAAAGCACTTTACCACCAGGACATACCCCCAGCCCGGAAGTTTCCATTGTGGGTTTCATTATTCGCTGTAAGTTTCACTGAAAACTGTTAGTGAATACCGAGGGATGGTTCAGCGTGTTAAACTGGTCCCATGTCTACACCCGGAGCTACAGACTGCTGTATTTGGGACGTGGTTGTTATAGTCAAGAGAGTGCTTGATTCGCTCATTTATTCAAATAAAATGATACAAAATAAGCCAAATGCAGGCATAGTATTTGAATTTTTTCATAAAAGTTAAAAAAACAGAGACCAAATACCACCCCCCCCGTTTTACTCAAGTTTCAAGCAGAGAAGGAACTGTAGTGTTTACCTTTGTTTTACTTTTCTGAAGCCAAGCTTATTGATGGTGAACAATCCAGTGACTTCCATGGCCATATGGAAGAACTTAAAAAAAAAAGTGTGTCCTTTCATGGTTTGATTGGACTAGGAGAAGCCGCATGGTGTATTCACACACTAATAGAACTGTTGCCTAGCTGGGAACCCAGGCCTGATACCTAGGAGCCCTATATCAGCATATATTCCTACCCAATGAAAGAGTAACCAGGACTATAATGCTCCTTCTCATTTGTTTTAAAATTGCAGCAAGGTTTGACTCCCAGAACCCTGAAAGTCTTTTTACACTCTCCTGGCTTCCTAGAAAAAGCTCACAGTATGCAGATTCATAGGAGGAAAAGCTATAACAAATGTACTGACAGGGAGAAACAGGGAGTCACAGCATGTATGAGATACCAGGAAGCCAGAGGGTTGCGAGCTAAAGCTTCATCTTCACAGGAGAGAAGGAAACGGGGCCAGGTATGGGGCAATCTTACAGAGACAGTCGATGATTATTAGGGAGATAGGATGGGTGGGGGAGACAGAAAGAAATGTGATTCTATGGGATTTGCATGAGGCGTAGAGAGGACATGTCCAGATGCAGTTACAGTCCCATCTTGTCTTCGATAGTCCTCTTTAGTGGTCAAATGAACTGTGCATGAATTTTCCCTGTGCATGGCAGCTGGGAGAGAAAGGGTAGAGGGTGGGACCTTGATTGTGAAGCAGCTTCTAAGACTGCCTTGTCAGCTTGTCATTCTGTGTGGTATCTTTTCTTCTGAGCCCCAACGGCAGGATGGTTTTGAACAAGTAGAAGATGGAAAAGGTATGTGATTTAGTTTCTAACTAGAAGTGCTGCACACCGACGATACAGTAAGACTAGAACTTGAGTTCTTGGCTCTTGGCATGATTTTGAAACAGCTCTCCTCTGTGGATGTACTAGGTCAGAAACACACACAGCCATGCTTGTGACTTTGCCCGGGTTAACGTTTACTGAGTGGCAATAAGCTACAGTGGGTTTGTTGGCAGTTGTCAAGTAGTCCAGATTTCCCTTGATAGCTGGCTGGGACAAACACATGTTCTTTTATCCCAATCTTATTATCTCTCTGAATACACAGGAAACATCATATAGTAAGTTGTTGGGGAATATTATTTTCAGGTGTGTGACTTTTGTTTATGCTGCATTTGTTTAACTGTGAATCTGTGACTCTTTGCCTGTCTTAAATACCTGATGATCCTAATAAAGAGATGAATGGCCAATAGTGAGACAGAAGCACAGATAGGCGGGGCTAGCAGGCAGGGTGTATAAAGAGAGAAAGAGGCTTAAGAGAGAACAGAAGGAAACTAGGGATCAGTCACCCAGCCACCCAGCAAGCCATGGAGGAAGAGGAAAAATAAGACATACAGAAGTAAGAAAGATAAAAGCCCAGGAGCAAAAGGTAGTGGGGGATAATTTAAGATAAGACAAGCTAGCAATAAACAAGCCAAGCTATGGTCAGGCATTCAGAACTAAGAATAAGCCTCCATGTGTCATAGTGCCCCCTCCCCGCAGAAGCCAAAAGGGTAAAATATCCCACAATAGTAAATCTCCCTGTGTTTATATATATACATGCCTAGGGTACAAAATGGCTGCAAGGAGCTAAAGCAGAGTTCAAGATCAGAGACAGACACACACACACACACACACACAGAGAGAGAGAGAGAGAGAGAGAGAGAGAGAGAGAGAGAGAGAGAGA